TTCCAAGTGCATTTAGGGTTGTATCTTTTGATAATCATTATAATTATTATATGGTATAAAACATAGTCGCTGTCGCTGTCTGTCCCTATGTATGCTTAACTCTTTAAAACTACGCAACGGATTTTGAAGAGATTTTTTTTTATAGATAGAGTGATTCAAGAGGAAGATTTATATGAATAATACATGTACACCCGTGAAAGTAGGGGTGGGTAACTAGTTAAAAATAAATAAATAACTTTTGTAATGTTTTACCGTTTGACTTGTATGTCCGACTAAGCAAACTATGCACTGTTCACACAATAGCTGTCAAAATCGGTGGTCTAGCGGTTTAGCACACTGCTTTGCGTCGGATGGTGGCGGGTTCGATTCGTAGCACTGCACAAACATTTGTACTCATGAGTATGATTATTTGTATCCATCTGGGTGTTTTATATGTATAATATGCATGTATTTACGGAAAAAAATATAAATCTAAATATTTGTATCAGTTATCTAGTACCCATAACACAAGCTTTAGCTAGCTTAACTTGGGTCTAGATCGCGCTGTGTAAATTGTCTTGAGATTTTATTATAGTAACTAAAATTTGTTTTTTAAATTAGTGTATAAATTTCACAAGTATGATTATGTTTTCGTATTTCGTATAGAAGGCGAAAGATGTTATAGCCGTAAAAGGATTCTCTTAGGTCTGACAACCCTAGTTGCAAAAAATTGCATAGCGATATGCAATTTGAAGTCACTAAGCACATGTCGTGAGAAACCAAGTGTTAAAATACACGTTTCATTGGCTTCCTATCATGTTGCCGCTGTACCTACATTGTTCACATAACACTAATTATTATTAGAGGTATATATATTGTATACGTTATAGTAGCGTAATTGGGTAATCAAAGTAAATGCAAGAAAGTACATAGGTTTTATAAAATCTAACTAATTTTGTATACTTATGGAATATAAATATATATAGGTATATTTATAATTCGAAAAACTAAATTCTATTGTCTTCATATAGTTAGCACAATTTTTATTAAGCTCTCTAAAATTGTGGAAGCCCCCTTTTGAGCTAATATACAATATATACACAGCTGCAAATATATACAAATATATACTTGTAGGTAATGAATATAATGTATATGTATAGGTATATATATATGTATATACCTACTTGTAATAGACCTACATGAATAAAGATAATTTGAATTTGTAGAATTGGAACCTCGCCTAAAGGGACTTCTTTTAATAATATATTTTGGTTATTATATTACATTTTTAAGGTACTTAGTTTTAGGTTCATTGTCTTAGTACATATTTATTTACTTCTGTACAAATAAAATGTAAATGTATTTCATTTGTAGTTATACTAGTACATATTCTATGGTTAACTATATAGTTAATCCTACAATTTCATTTATACCCATTACAAATTAAGCTAATCGATTACTATTTTAATAGCCACTGGAATATTTGATGTATCCTATCTAATCTACAGGTACATATAAATAAAATTGGAGTGTCTGTTTCTAATATTGAAATAACCGTTTTTTACTACATGCATATGAATATAAATATGGTACGTATGTACACCAAAATAACATTTTTTACAATTTTTGTCCGTCTGTCTGTTTCGGCTAATCTCTGAAAAGCTGGACCGATTATGACGGGACTTTTATTAGCAGGTAGCTGATGTAATAGAGAGTACCTTAGGCCTCTTTTATTTTAGAATTATTTATTAGATTATTAATTATTTAGAATATATTACTTATTTTAGAAAAATAAAGTTAAATTCCACGCGAAAGAAGTCGCGAGGCGCTAGTCTATAATAAATTGAACACGCTATGTTTCTATTACATAGAATTGCTATCGACCACAGCGAATAATTTTTATCCTCTGATTTTGATTGGAAGGGCTTTCCAATTCAAATCTATACACATATTTTATCTGTATGTTATGGTATGTTATATTAAAATCGAGCACATTTAATATGACTTTCTACGGATCTTACAACGCTCTCTCTTATATCAATTTAAAGGGTAGTCTAATTAGGATAAAGAGGAATCATCCCTTAATCTTTAGAAATGGTAACGCATGTGAACTGAAGCTGAACATCATATATAGGCGGTGGTTACCACTTTTCATCAGGACCAGAACAGTCAGACTGTTTCGTATCCTCGTTGCAGTCGATGGAATTTCCAACGCAACTGTCTTAATAATTTATATAATTGTACTTATAATAATACTATGTCAATCTTTATTGTAACACTATTGAATGCAAATGAATAAATCGGCCTCGGTGGTATAGCGGATTACAGACTCTTATGATATGTGAAATCTACCGTCAGTTCGGAATGATTTCGAGATGAGAAGAACTGACATGAAACTCAGCTCGTATTCTTTTTAAATAAATGTTGTACGTTTACAATAATATAGATTAATTTGAATTTGAATTGACCACAAAAACAAAAAAATCTCATTAGCGTTCGTAACCTGAACAGACCAGTCCCCACAGCATACCTGTTTCCATATCATGATCTGTATTGAACTTAAAAAAGCTATTGTGGTCCTACGTATGTAATTGCTAGATTTTAGGTTTGAAATGTTGATAATAATATTAATCTCAGGACAATTCACACCTCGCCACCTTTTCAATTTCAATTACAGCAATTTTAACCATGATGGTTTCGAAGCCACTTGGCTATAAATGTAAAAACATATTATTTGGCGACAGACTTTGTATTTCATTATACATTATAATGTAATAATAGAAATCTCGGGAATCAGACAGCGCTACCTAGAAGTTAAGTTAGCTAAAGCTTCTGTTATGGGTGATAAATAAGAGATACAAGTACATAGATATACTTTTTTTCGTAAATACATACATATCATAGAAAACACCAAGACCGATGCAAACAATCATACTTCTGAATACAAATGTTTGTCCCGTGCGAGGAATCGAACCCGCGACCATCGGACGTAAGGAGGTGTGCTAAACTGCTAGACCACCGAGGCTATTAATGAACTGCAGATAGTTGACATCTGATATAAAATGACTTGTAACCGATTTTTCCGTTCAATTTCTATTTTTTTCAAGATTATATAGTAATTAACGCTGATTTTGTTATAGATACATACTAAACCAAACGTAGGCATGAATAAATGAATAAATCCTTTGATATTCGACGCGGCAATGGTGTACCAACAATATGGGAACAAAGAGATTGTGTTTCGTTGACAGTGCATTGTGCGAATGTTAAATAGAATGAATGTTTTCGTATCTACGTGCAAGCTTTGCTTCTTTCAGGTTTATTCACTACATTTATTTCAAGAATGGTTAATTTTAAAAGTATTATTTTTTTAATTAAATTAGGACACAGAATTTAAGATGAAGTTAAGATGTTGATATGATAATATAAATAAATAAAACGAAACATATTCAATTATTTTTTTAGAATTTCGTAGGAATATTCTATTCCGTACATTTTTTAGTTCATTAGTGTATACTTTATAGTGTGTATTTTTTGTACTAAGTATTATAATTAAGGAAAATTAAGAATAATCAATAGAGACCTGTTACTTTAGCCATTCTACCCGTATTTTTCATTATATATTAAGAATATTTTTAAATGTTAAATAAATATATTAACAATCTTATTAAAGTTTTTTCTTTCTCGACAATGTAGTTACTTCGTGACGAAATTACAGCAAAACATACAACGAGGCAATAATTCTGTCGAAAAAAAAAGAATCAACCAAAATCGAAACAAATAAGAGCGGTGAAATGCGAGTCGAAAGTGGTGCTCAGAGTTTCGAACAAATTTCAATTATGTAAACACGTCTTTGTTTTCTTTACATAAGTGATAATATTTAAAAAATACATAAAATATTCTGTAAGTATAAGGTAATTTACTTATATACAGCTGTGACTGCGCCTTCGGAGGCGTAGTATTCCGGCTAAATGTTATAACAATGGGTTATAACATTTCTCTTTTTGAAGCTATTTAACTGAAATATACACTAAACCTTTCGACAAGCATGCTTCAATACACATTGAAAATCGTATTTAAAACGGTTAAGCTTCCTCTTATCAACGTTATATTTGGGCGGGACACCAGTGGAAGATGATGAAAAGGGAATAATCACGGCCGATTGTGTAGAATTTGTCATATATTAAACACACCGTATGTTACCTTGCTAGAATAAGGCAAATAAGGCACTAGAATCCATTAATCACAATTATTTTCTTCTGTGTGTGACAATTAAAGTATTTTATAAGAACTCAATAATCGATATGGTTACAATTTATTACATTTAGACTATATGTGCGAATATAAATTAAAAGACTTAGTTCACTGTGCCAACCATTATGGTTAATCTTTTAATATCAACACATAATTTTTTATTATAGTAAGCGTAATTTTTTCCTATCGAAATTATTAAATAATTCTCAAATGTAGAAGATGAATGGTGTTTCAACTTACGTTTTCATTAGTAGCGCAAGACTTGAAATGAATGAAACCCTGTTTTGAAATATAAGAGTGCATTTCTTACTCCAGTCAAAGTAATTGAGGCATGTTGAGTATTGTGAATGGTCTACAAAAAAATGTAAGAAAATATATATTACTTATTTTCATTGCAATAAAATTAGACTAACTGTAGGCATGTAAACCGAAATTATATTAATTGTACTGGTAGTCACTAAAATAGAACTATGACAGATTATTAGAATAATCTACAAAAGTTTCACCGCTTTGCCTCCTATTTTGATCCTAAAATAAATGAAGTAGTATTTTCTTTTTAAAGTCAACTGATAGAGATACAGGTACATTGTGTTTAGTTTTTAATCTTTACGATGCTATTTCCAAAATGTGATGTCGGAAAAAGCACCTACCCCTACTGCTACGGGTTCGTGACAACTGTTGAGCACATTTGCGTCGCCCCGTATACCATACAGCCTGCCTGTATATATAGGTGAGCTACAGGCCCCGCGACCATTCGCACCCCAGTCATCGTTCCAGGCAGACGTCTCTACCTGCCTTTACGACCGTGTCGCGATCCGCGCGCACTATTTTACGAACTCCACAATGAAGTGTATAAAAATATGCGCGATTTTTACTTTCTATTTATTATTTGTAGACAGTACCGAAATAAATAACACTGAAGAGCTGAAAGCTCTAGCTGAGCAGATAGAAATTATGAAGGGTCTGCAGTTACAAGAAATGGCGAGACTCCGGAAGGAAGTTGACCAGCTCAAGTAAGAAATTCATTTTTATATATTTTCTTTTATTTCTTTAATATAATTTGAATTGTTTTTATTATATAATTTAATTTACTCTAACAGAGGAAAAGGAATTGAGTAGTAAATTATTGAAAACAAAGTTTGCGTTGGTATTGCGTAAAAAGTTCGTCTGGTTTGCATTGAGCAGTATTAAAACGACCAGCTGAGCCATTAACTGAATAAACTAAATTTGCTGTGCGTTTATTATAGGTACTTTAACTTTAAATAAATTAATTGTATATTTTAATAACGGAGTAAATGTTAATTGTAAAGTTTACGTTCAAGATAGTAAGAATATCAGGTGATGATTAACGGTAAATATTAAGTAGTCATCTAGATATTATAAAACCCATTTCGGTTCAACAGTCGGGCAGAGATCTCTGTTTTAAAGAGGAAAAAAATTACTATTTTTAGCGCTCTAGTTAAGTGGTTTAACATATATGATATATATATTATACTGAATTATTTTTCATGAAAGTATTTCAAATTTAACTGATAAAAATTAGGTTTAATATTAAAATTTATATATTAACTAGCTGTCCCGGCAAACGTTGTTTCGCCATATAAATTAAAAATGCTATTAAAAATAGGGGTTGTTGGTAGTAGGGAGAAAATTTAAGGCTATATGTATTTTTTAATGCCCCATAATAAAAATATATAAATAATAAAAAATTGTCAAAAAATGAAAAAAGTTTTTTGGATTGAGCCTTAATACTTAGGGCCATAAAAATTAGTTATATATTTTTAGACCTACTAAATACAGATATAAAATTTCATGAAAATCGATCAAGCGGTTTCTGTGACACGAGAATTTTATATATTAGATTTATTTCAGTCGCGTAACTAAATAGATACCATTTTGGTATTTGTAACAAAAAATGTTAAATGTCATATATATACTTACTATTATATTATTAGGCAAAACTGCGTGTTATCATGAGATAACACGCAGTTTTGCCTAATAAAAGGTAGGTCCTTAGGTCGGTTCCTTCAGATTTTCGTCTATAGTTACAATAAAAAAAATAGTTTTTCCAGGAGTTAGGGAACCCTAAAAAAAGATGAAATTTAAATATTTACTGCCTGCGTAGGTACCTACCAATAAGCGCACTATATTTTACGCATTGCCAATGCGAATTAATTTTTTTATCTAGACACTGCAGAGGCTTCCTATATCGTACATTGCGCGAGTATTTGATTATTAATATTTTTTAAGTTTCTATTTTTACACTGCAAACTCGAACCTCTTGCAATGTGAAGTATGTATGTAGTTTAAACAGGTACTCTATTCTAGTGTCATTCAAAATAAAATTCTTGCATATATATGATTGAATAACACTAGAATATAATTGAAGCTCTACCTTAAAGCTACCTTATACTGCGGTATTTGCAAAACGGAATGAACTCTGTGTCTTTCTCAGAGCAAACATTACGAAGATACCTGCTCGTATTGTACGGCGGTACAAAAGTAAAACAATGGAGGTTTATGAATATATAACTAACATATACCTACTGAAAGGTATACTGTATCTACGGAAAATATATAAGACAGATCTTGTCATTTTGGAAATTGACGGTTAAATTCAAAAACATATTGCTCGTAGCCGACCCGACGGCCGAGTAAAAGGAGAGTAATTTTTATAAGCTGGGTTCTTATGGATGATAACGGAATGGTGCACCGGCCTGCGCTAACGGTTTTCGCTGGCGGGGCACCAGTGGTGGATGATAGAATGAGCACGAGGTCAGGTCAGTTAGCCCATCGTGGCAAATTCACCAGGAGTTTAAATAATGGTTGAGGTCAATCTGACATGCTACATTGGAGACAATGGGGTTATCAATCCACATTACTAACATCCCCTTCCCCCCTATCAGATGGGTTATGTACCCCTTAATATATGTTGTATGTTAACCATGTAAAGTTGGAACTGCACATACGCTACTTTGACTCCCATTGAACAGAAAATTTTAAATATGGACGCGGTCATTATTTATACGTGTAATTAATAAAATTCACGGGATCTTACCACATTTTATATTTATTGAGTTCCGCCATGATCACGGGTAAACTGTTTACCCATCATGGCGGTTGAAACATCGCCGAAATATCGGGAACTCAATAAATAGAAAATATGGTAAGATCCCGTAATTTTTAGTTACTATACGTATATATATATAATTTTAAAGCCAATTCACACATAAAGAATGGATGTAATACAATTTTTCAGCACGTTATTTTTTTAGCACCGCCTGTCCATCTAGCTTAGCCACTACTGAAATCCCCACAAATTGACGGTTGAAAAATATTTTTTGCTGTTCTCTTTCTATACATAACTTCCAAATGGAACATCCTATGCAAAATCCCTTTTAATTTTAAAACCACATGTCTGTTTAATTACACAAAGCTTTAGCACTTAAATATCAAATAGCTCATTAACGCGAATATAAGCGGATATAAAATACTGCTATTTACTCTATCAATTAGTTTGATTTCATTAAACCATATTTAGTGCTAAATGATAACAATTAGTTCATTTAGCACAAAATATTGTTTAGAATACAAAATTTGTCTATTATGACGTCGAAATCAAGGGAAATGTTTGATAATTCAATCCAATCCTATCTCTTGATATGTAGATTCGACGAGTGCCGTGGAACAAAAGGCTTACCCGGCTAATCGGTCGTAATATGCCAATTACCTCTAGCTTAAACTTCCCTTTGCAAGGTAGGGGTAGGTAAGAGTCAGTGCAGTGCCTGTAAGCGGGTTGGTGTATGCCTACATTGTATTCCCAAATAAAGCTCTAGAATACACATGTATGGTGAATACTAAAATGATTTCTATAATGATTTTGTAAATATCCCAAGGCACTTTTGAATATGATTACTGTCTCAATAAGCAAAAAGATTATTTTTAAATGAGAGTATAAATGAGTAGAGGTAGTAAAGGTTTAATAGATAAATGTAATGAAAGAAAATTAAAATAATGTAAGATAATTGTAGTAGCTATGTCCCCACATAAATATTGCGTTATAATATTTATAATTTTAAAATCATAAAGAATGAAAAAACTAAGTACATAATTCTAAATTATTGGTTGGTTTCATATTAACATTTCAATAGTTACACATATATTAAACATTTTATTACGAAGGAATAACTAGACAATTGCAAGCGACTCGGTAGAATTTTAAAATATTTACTTTCAATTTAAAAGGCGTAGATAAATAATATATCAACCCATTTCTCTGCAAATCGATTCCATCGTCTTATTTCTCATATGTGCTGTTATGTTTAACCAAATTAAAATAATATAAAACTGCCTACATATTCGAATGAATAATAACGTAGCTTAAAGTAACCAGCTAAAAGTATTGTTCAAAAAGAATTGAAGTAATGAGTAGGGAGATTCGAATGAATCTGTACAATACACTGTGTAATATCACTTTAACAGTCGTTTATGTTACTTCATGTTCACGTTGTGCTTATGCCGATTATGTTGGGATTCGTCTTAATAATAATAATCTCAGGACAATTCGCACAGTTTTTTTTGCGTTGTCTCTAATGCTGTTGGCCGCAGCTGGCATTTACAGCTTCACCGGACGATAGCGGGCATGCAGTTGGCACTCCCGCCCGCGGGAAGATTATGGAGCGGCTGAAGGCTAACTCTAGCCTGACGGGTACTACTTTAGTCTGAGGACACCGCTAGGGATTCGAACCTCGGCTCAGGCGCCGTTTAAGTTGGACAGGGATCGATCGGAGGGATTTCACACAGCGTCATCTAGACCCAAGTTAAACTAGCTAAAGCTTGTGTTATAGGCATTAGATAACTTACACAAATACATAGATATGTTTTTTCGGAAATACATACATATTACATACATAGAAACCGATACAAACAGTCATACTGATGAATACAAATATTTGTGCCGTGCGAGGAATCGAACCCGCGACCATCGAAGTAAGACGATGTGCTAGACCGCTAGACAACCGAGGCTGACTTATAATGTAACACACTTAGGACATACTCGTATGTTGTATAATGACTACGAAGGAACAATTGCTGATGCTGATGATCAGTTCAGATTGTACTGTCACCAGAACTGTCTCCACGGCTCTATCTAACTTGCATGTGATTAGATAAGATAATTTTATCGGACTTTAGATTTGTTTCCAAAAAGCTTACGGCATTTCCAGTTACATATCTAAGCAATGTTATATCAAAATTAAATGAAATATCTCGCACACATTTAAATATTCTAGAGCATGGTACGGAACTCCAAACTGGAATTACTTCTACGCAGGTGGCATAAATGACGTGATAACATATGAGGGATGCGTGACGACATTTTTCCAACGTCCTTTCACAATTTTTGGACCATCTTTATTGTGTTTTTCTTTGATTTAATTTCGCGCCCCTTTTGCCTTTCTACTCTTATGTTTATTATCTACATGTTGGAATGAGAGAATGCGAGATATGATACAAGCGACAAGTATTTCGAATCGAAGTCGGCGACAGAATTCCTAAAATTTATGCATTGAATTGGGTCAGGCCGAGAGGCTCTTGGGTCAAGCTCTTCTTAGAAGTGGACAAGCATCACTTAAATTTTAACTGACGCGCGAAAAAAAAAAATTTTTATTGTAACATATTTGTCTCATCTATACATATAAATAAAATTGGACTGTCTGTTTGTAATATTGAAATAACCGTTTTGTACTACATATGAATATGAATATAAATATATATATAGTATGTACCTTACATACTCCAAAATAACATTTTTTACAATTTTTGTCTGTCTGTCTGTCAAACAGACAGGCTAATCTGAAATGGCTACACCGATTTTGACGGGACTTTTATTGGCAGCTGATGTTCTCCTTATTACATCAGCTACCTGCCAATAAAACTTAGGCTACTTTTATTTTAGAATAATAAAGTTGCAATAATCCACGCGGGCGAAGTCGCGTGTACAGCTAGTAATTTA